AATTTATATAACATTAATGAACATCAGTAACTCGCCAGTGACTTATTTAATGTATGTTCCTGTAAGAAAACATTGTAAATAATTGGAAATCCGGCGACCGCAATTATCAAACCCTTGGGAACAACTGTGGTCGGAACCAAAGTTCACAGGTCTGTGTTCCCTGAACTGCTATCAAGCAGTGGACGTCTTCATTCTGATTGCTTGCCGCCGAAACGCGTCATAGCTCATTACCATAAAGTTGACTTCATTTCAACTCTCCTCGACGCTCACGCCGGCGAAGACGCGCCGCGCTGCTCCTCGCCGCTTATCGTCGCCTATCGCCGCCGGCTCTCATTGAAAATGAATGACTTCCGGCTACTTTGACGCTCTCGCCGCTTTCGGTGTGAATGTACGGTAATGATGGACACTTCACGCACTCAACGACCGCAGGTTTGCTTACGTAGCGGAAGGGGCGGAGCTATCGGACGCACATGTTGGATAACTTTATTTATTTTGGATGGAGAAAGCAAATTTCTCCTACGAGAGTGATTATATCGCCTCCCGATGGTGAATGCGGCAATACTCACGATAGGTATTATTTGATAATTCGGTCGTTTATTTCAATGATTTGGCAACCGTCAAACGTCATCAGGGAAACGGTTTGAATTTCCGTTTAGTAAAAAAACATTAGTGTGCCATTTGGGACACCACTACATACATGTACTATCCTGTTGAGTGTGTAAGTGCATAAGTACATAGTGCATGAGTGCATAGTGTATAGTGTGCCATTTGGGACGCAGCTTATGTCTATTTCACAAAATGGCGATCGAGACCGGAAGTAGGGAAAACTTTGTTCCGGTAGAAGCAAAGTGCAATGGCGGAGGCTCAAAGTAACCAATCTTACAGCGTACCTTTTTGTACTAATTCCAAAACGAAACAGCCATATTTGTCATTTCATTGCTTTCCCAGTAATGAAACTATTCAGAGGTGTTGGATTTGGGCTATTTGGAGAGATGAGGGGTGGAATTTACTGTGAGGAAGGGCAGCACTTTTGTGTGTGCTATGCACTTCACGGAGCATGAAGTTCACGTCCATCCACAGTCCGGTCGCAAATTTCTTACACCACAGGCTGTGCCTTCAAGGTTTTCATGGAACAACTGGAGAGAGGTTAAATCACGCCAGACGAGGACTGCAAAAAGCACAGTCTGTTATGAGCAGGGGAAAAACACCACTGTCAAGAGTGATATCACAGTAATTAATTATTAGTTAAACAGAAAGTATATTGCATTATATTTAGTAATATGAAATTACTAGCATAGTTATGTCGTGGAGCATTGGTATTGTGTTGCATAAACGTTACTTTACTATTTTAGTAATTTCCCGTTTAAATGCATAACTTACCATTAGTACATTTAAACCCACTTATAACATTTTCATCAGTTCTGATTTAAACTACCTGAACCACCCATTTCAAGCAGTTTAATTAAAGGGATAGTTCAGGATTAAAATTGTCATTACATACTCATGCCCAGTTTTTCCACAAAGGCAATTTTGTTAGAATGTCAGTAATTCATTAATTATAGTAGTAAATCGGTTTTAATGTCTATTTGTTTACTGAAATTCTTCAAAATACCCAAATCTTCTGTAGTGTTCAGACAAATAAATAAATAAATAAATAAATAAATACAGGCTTGGAAAAACCTGTGGGTGGGTGAATTATGACATAATTGCCAAATTGGGGGGGGGGGGGGGGACTGATAAGGGATAGCAAAGATATTTAAAGTCGAAAACAAATGTACAATAATTGAATTGAAAAGTACAATAATTGAATTAAGAATTTACAGTCATGTTGTAAATTGTAAAACTGCACAAAACTGTAATGATAAAATACCAATTTTTTCGCCTTTATGAGAAATGTTCTCCAATAATACATTTTCATGTTTAACGTTTACCATATGCACTTTTTTTTTTTAATTAGGTGCTCTTGATAAGGCACTGGAAAAAATAAAGGAGCTGGAGGAACTGGTGGCAAGCCTTAATACCTCAGGAGCCCTGCTAGATACATGGTGCGTGTCTGATGTTGACTTTCATGAGGTTTCCAAACAAAAACATCTTTTTTGTTTTTTGGAGATCTATTGAGCCATCAGCATCCCATATTGTGTTCTGGTCCAAAGCTAAGAGGGTTGTAATTTCAACTGCAGAGAAAGAGGTTGTGATGCCAAGCCCCAAGTGCAAGTTGCAACTCGTTGATGAGTTTTTCATGTTTTGCCTGCGTGTTGCTGTTGTTCTTAGAGAGAGAGTTTTGGCTGGAATATTTAAACTTAGTACTTCTACAGTGAGTCGCGTTGTAATCCCGGTTGGAAGAGGTGTGCCTGAGCGCGGTACACTTGGGCTTTGGCGCGGTACACTTGTGTGTGAGCGCGAAACGCGCCAAAGCTCGAAACCTAAAGCGAGACGTGACTTTTTAAGGGACTGTTTGATATGGATTTATTAATCATTCTTACTGTTCAGTGATCGCAAACTGCTGTAGTTTATTAAAGACGCAAACTCCTCACAGCACCACAGCTGCGCGCCTTCAGCAGACCTCCTCATTCCTGCAGCACGAGAGCTTTGATTGTTTATGAGCGCCAAAAGTGGCGGATCTGTTCGGTAAAATATCTGACTGTGTGTCCCCGCATCCCTAAGGACTGTTTGGCGAAATATTTGACTGCATGTCACTGCATAACAAACGACTGAAAGGATATAACTAGAGAAATCTCCACTGTGCTGCTGAGTGAGAGCGTATGGCAAGCCGTTTTAACATTTAAACCATGTTCTGACTATCCATAAATATATTTAGAGATATAATTATATGTTTTGACAAGTCATTATTATAATTCGACTTGTCAGAATGACAATTGGAGATATCTGCAATTACAATTGTACTAGTACGAAATCAGATTGGAGATATCTGCAAATATATTATGACTAGTCATATTCCTCCATTGACTTCCATTGAAAAATATTTGCAGATATCTCTAAATGAGTTTTGACTCGCCAAAAATCCAATTCAAGATATCTATAACTGTAATTCGACTATTAGTAAATTAATTAGAGATATCTTCAAATATATTTGTAAATATCTCTAAATATTACGAATTAAAGACATCTCCAAATGTATGACTAGTAAAAACTCAGTTAGAGATATCTCTAATTACAATTGTGACTAGTCAAAACTCATTTAGAGATATCTGCAAATATTTTTCAATGGAAGTCAATAGAGGAATATGACTAGTCATAATATATTTGCAGATATCTCTAATCTGATTTCGTACTAGTACAATTGCAATTGTAGATATCTCTAATTGTTATTCTGACTAGTCGAATTATAATTATGACTAGTCAAAATATAATTAGAGATATCTCTAAATATATTTATGGAGTCAGAACAAAGATTTAAATGCTAAAAAGGCTTGCCATAGAGAGCGATTCTGAACAGCGCAGCAGCGATGACGTAAGCGTGCCGAGGCCCGATATGGTGTGAGCGCGGGCCGTCGGGGGAGACGGGAGGGGGGACAAGCGTGCTTTGGCCCGGTTCGAGGCAACTGTACCTAGTGTGAGTACGGCCTAACACCTCCTCCTGCTTACCAGCCAATAACATCAGCCACCAGCACCTCTAACACCTCCTCCTGCTTACCAGCCAATAACATCGGCCACCAGCACCTCTAACACCTCCTCCTGCTCACCAGCCAATAACATCGGCCACCAGCACCTCTAACACCTCCTCCTGCTTACCAGCCAATAACATCGGCCACCAGCACCTCTAACACCTCCTCCTGCTTACCAGCCAATAACATCGGCCACCAGCACCTCTAACACCTCCTCCTGCTCACCAGCCAATAACATCAGCCACCAGCACCTCTAACACCTCCTCCTGCTCACCAGCCAATAACATCGACCACCAGCACCTCCAACACCTACTTACCAGCGAGTAACATCGGCCACCAGCACCTCCAACAACTCCTCCTGCTCACCAGCCAGTAACATCGGCCACTAGCCACCTCCTCCTGCTCACCAGCAAATAACATCGGCCACCAGCACCTCCAAAACCTCTAAAACTACATTTCCAACATGCAGTGACCACCCGCAAAAGGCTATTGTATATATTTTTTAAAGCGCTTCTGAAGTGGTTACGAATTATTAGAAATTAAAAATCAAAGTTAATTTGTCTTTCTAGTCTGTACACTTTCATTTTATTAAGTAGAGAATAGAAAATAAATATTTTAAATTAATGTAATGTGATGCTATGATTTACATGTTTCCGATTGGCTACTTCTACTTCATACTTAATGAGGGGGAGGGGCTTGCTGCTCAAACAATACACAGACTCTGACGTGAAGCAGCAGCAGCTCCGTGTTTCCTGTGTTTTTATTAACATTATTGTCCCTCATCAGGTATGAAATATTGAAATCGTTATCAAAATGTGTTGAGTATATGTTAGAGATATAAAAGCAACAAGTGTCATCTATTAAATTAACCTGATAGTGCATATTAATATATATGAGTTCGTATTAACTGTATATATATACGCTCTGCACTGTAATTCCAACGGTAACATGATGATATGATGATTTAAATGCCAACTGTAGAAACGGTCAAGTAAATGTATATTATATGTATCAACATAATAACTAACAAAGGGAATATTGTTAAAAAAGTAATTATAAAGTCACAAAGTGCTATTATTTCCCATAGTTGGTTACAATGTATATATAAAGAGAGATAGATGATAGATGTGTAGGTCGTTTATAAGCCTTTATGTGTGTGTGTTATAGAATAATTAAACTGTGAATAGTTTATTTAGGAAGAATCATATAATTACTTTATAGTAATTTATAACAGTAATGTGCAGGGAATATGTATGTGATTATTTTGTGATATGTGTATATATATAATATCTGTGAAGATGTTTACATATGTTGTTGTACAATGTGAAAGTATACTTTTAAGTGCATTCATTTAAAAAAACAATACACAGACTCTGACGTGAAGCAGCAGCAGCTCCGTGTTTCCTGTGTTTTTATTAACATTATTGTCCCTCATCAGGCGGTGAGGGCGCTACATTTTGGAGGCACCGCTGGGATGGATGCAGTGTGGGTCGGCTTCGAGTGATGACAGTTGTCCTTCAGTGCCATTCATCTTCTTACTCAGCCTAGGAGATCAGTGAAGTGAGGGTGTCCACGGTCCCTGTTGTGTTCGGACAAAAGTGCATTCAATCTGAGATCAACTTACAGTATCAGGATTGCTGCAAGATTCCAGCCAGCTACGGACATTGCACACATACATTGCACTGCACATTTCCAAAGACTGAGCAACCTATGGATTCCTTAGAGGACTTGAAGCTTGAGGTTATAGGAGCATTATATGCTCTCTCAAAAGGAAACCTTCTTGAATTATGTCACTTTCTGGAAGTTAAGTGTGAAAATGCTGTCAACAAAAGTCGTTCAGCACTCATTTCTTTGATTGTAAAACACATTGAGAGAGAGACATTAGAAGAGCTTGAAGATGCTGGTATGTCAGAGCTTTTGTGCTTAAAAGATAAAATTTGTGAAATTCAGTTTGGAAACAGTGATCCAGAAAAACAAACACCTCACACATCAATAAGAGGGGCCTTAGACCAGGTAGCAGAAAATGTAGAGCAAGAAAGACTGCAAAAAGAAATTGACACATTAAAGGTAGCCCTGCAAAAGCTAATTGAACAAAAACAAGGAGCAGGTGATTACACGTACCATAACACTAGCAATCAACAACGCACAACCAAATCACAAAACCCTCTTGCATCCCACAATGTGAACACACAACAAGAAACAAGTACCTACCTAAATCAAGTGCCCTCTCGACCAGTTTTGTTTCCCTGGAATAGAGAATTTAAAATTTCAGGACAGATCGGTGAGCATGGACAGAAAGACAAACTGACTTTTTCAAGTTTGGCTCATCAAATTGAGCATGGACTGAGCAGAGGGGTTTCGGAACTTGAAATAGTGGATGCTGTAATCAGAGCGATAGCACCAGGCATGCAACTGCGTAGCTATCTGGAAGGAAAACCAAATCTAACCTTGCCCATTTTGAGACGAATTCTCCGAGCACATTATCAGGAAAGAGGTGCAACAGAACTGTACAAGCAGCTAACATCAGAAGTTCAGAGTAGTAAGGAGAATCCACAAAGTTTTATTGTTCGGTGTCTTGATTTGAGACAAAAGATTCTGTTTGCTTCCCAGGAGGCAGAATCTACTTTGAAATATGATCCAAATCTTGTTCAGAGTATTTTTCTCCACACTGTCCTGACCGGCTTACAAAATGATAGTATTAGAAGTGACCTGCAACCTTACCTCACAAGAAATGAGGTGAGCGATGAACTTCTATTGGACAAGGTCAATGTTGCCTGTGCAAATGAAACAGAGCGTCAAAACAAGAAAAAGTATCTATCCCAACATCATCTCACTAAAGTAAATCCTGTACAAGTTAATGAAGTCGCTATTGAAAAAAAAGGAAAGACACAGTGTCACAGAAATACAGAGAAAGTTGAACCTGACCTTTTGAGTGAGTTAAAAGGAATGCGGTCTGACATGGCAATGTTGAAGGATCTCAGTGTAGAGGTGGCTCAAATTAAAGAATCCATACGACAGCCTCAGGTCATGCCCACACAGTCCTCCACCCATTTAAGGGATACCATATACATGCAACCTCCCCAGTCTACATACCACACTGCACGTTATCTGCAGCCTTATGACAGGCGAAGGGGAGCATATCAGCGACAACATTGGCTCCCTCCACAACAATACCACCCTCCTCCAACCCATCTAAGGAAATGTGTGGCATGTCAGCAGAGCGGATTAGATGTGCACTGTACTCACTGTTATAGATGTGGGAGTAGCGACCATTTTCTGGCAGGTTGCAGAGTGCGAAATCCAATGATGTACAGAGACCAGTCGTTAAACGACACCGGGTCACGACCGCGGGACAGGGAGTGACCAGTGAAACATTGGAGTCCCCACAAAGCTGTGCACACTGTGGTGTAGTGAATCCTGACTTAAATTTGCAACAATGTTCTGCCTGTAAGCAAACACTTTATTGCTCCAAAGCCTGTCAATGTCATCACTGGACAAAACATAAGAATCAATGCAAACAAGTTTCCAACCGTGATATGAATTCTGCCATGATTGAAAAGAAAACAAATGCAAAAGAATCTATTTGTGCTGATTTTGTTGGAAAGCAGTGTATTGTACCATGTTACATTCAAGGCCAGCTTGTTGATGCATTATGGGATACGGGATCACAAGTGTGCATAGTGGATGAACTGTGGAAAAATGAGTACTTGCCTAACATGAGGTTAAGGGATGTGACAGAGGTAATCGATGCACCTGAAAGTCTCCGTCTTGTGGCAGCAAATGGACAGGATATTCCTTACATGGGATGGGTGGAAGTGACTTTTGGTTTAACAGTAACTGCAACTGAAACAAAAGAACTTGTCATACCTGTGCTGGTGATGGAGGGCAGGCAGCTTTGTCGTCCTATTATTGGATTTAATGTGATTGAGCGAATTCTAAATGACAATAAATTACCTCGGCCAGTCACAAAGGAATTTCTGAGAACAGTTCTCCCTAGTGTGGAAAGAGAGAAAGTACATGCTTTTATTAATCAAATCCACGAAGAAACCCCATGTGAATACCTTGTTAAAACAACAAAGGAAAATATTCAGGTGCCAAAACACACATCTGTACAAATAAAATGCAGGGTACAATCTCGTCGACAAAAAAAAGACACATTGCTTCTCTTTGAGCCTGATGTTAACCCACAATGGACAGAGGGGTTGGAGTTCTGTGAAACAGTAGTGACCCTACAGAAGCACATGTCCCCACACATCATCATCAGTGTACAAAACCCCACAGATCACGACTTAATGCTAATGGGCAAGACAGTTATAGGAACAGTACAGCCAGTACAGTCTGTGTATCCAACAGCTGCGTTTGACAATAATGACTTACCATCATTGAGAATAAATGAAATAAAAATTGAAGCTGGCCACACCCCTGACAACACATGGGTTCCACCTGTAAACTTAAGTCATCTTAATGAGTCTGAAAAACAAATTGTTCAACAAATGTTAAAAGAGGAAGCGGCATCATTTTCCAAATCCGAAACTGACATAGGCTGCATTGAAAAGCTGCAACTGTCCATCTCTTTGAAAGACACTACTCCAGTAGCACGTACTTACCAGTCAGTGCCTAAACCGCTCTACCAGGAAATGAAAGACTACTTGCATGATCTCATTGCACAAAAATGGATACAGAAATCAAATTCATCATATGCCTCACCTGTAGTGTGTGTCAGGAAAAAGGATGGCACCTTACGCTTGTGTATTGATTATAGAGAGTTGAACAGAAAAACACATCCTGATAGGCAGCCCATTCCCCGGGTACAAGATATAATGGACAGTCTGGGAGGGAACTCCTGGTTTTCACTCCTTGACCAAGGAAAAGCATACCATCAGGGTTTCATGGCCAAGGAAAGCAGACCACTAACTGCTTTTGTTACACCATGGGGTTTATATGAGTGGATTCGGGTACCTTTCGGCCTGATGAATGCTCCTTCAGTGTTCCAACGCTGCATGGAGGAATGCCTGGAAGAGCTGAGAGACAATATCTGTGTTCCTTATCTGGATGATACCTTGGTTTTTAGCAAAACCTTTGAAAAACATGTAGAGGATGTGAGAAAGGTCTTGCAAAGATTAAGAGAGTATGGAATAAAGTTAAAACCTATCAAATGTGAGTTGTTTAAGCGTGAAGTGCGGTACCTCGGGAGAATTGTGTCTGAGGAAGGAAGTAAAATGGATCCGGCTGACACAGCTGCCGTGGAAAGCCTGAAAGAGAAAAGACCTACCACAGTTGGACAACTGAGATCTGTCATGGGCCTGCTCAGTTACTATAGGCAATATATAAAGAACTTTTCAAAGATCGCAGGACCTTTGTATGACCTACTGAAACAAACAGAAACTAACAGAGAGGATTACAAAGAGAAAAGTCATCAAAAGTGGAAAGAAAAGAGTAGGGGATTGTCCTCCAAAACACAAATTATATGGACAGACAAACATCAAGAGATACTAGAGAGACTGATTGACTGTTTGGTTGAGCCACCTGTCCTTGCATTTCCTGATTTCTCACAGCCATTCATACTGCACACTGATGCATCAAATCAGGGACTTGGGGCTGTTTTATATCAAAAACAAAATGGAAAATTAAGAGTCATCGCTTATGGGTCTCGAACTTTGACAGCCGCAGAAAAGAAGTACCACCTCCACTCAGGCAAGCTGGAGTGTTATGTATTTGTGTTTTTTGTGCTCTGTTTTCTTTGTGTTTTTTCCCTCCCTCTCTCTCTCTCGCTCTGTTCTCCCGTATCTGCTCTCATGTATTCTCAGGTTCTGTTCATTGGTCCATTCAGCTGTCAGTCATTCCTCCCCGGTTACGTCACTCTTACGTCACATCCAATGAGCAAAGACCACCCGTCTTAAAAGCGCGCGCCAGACCACTCGCTCTTTCTTGTTTTCTTGCTCTCTTGCTTGCATTTGTCTCTTTCGCTGTTTCGTCGCTTGTTTGTATTTACCGCGTGCGTTTAGAAATTACCCCGTCTAACTGTGTTTTGTTGTTGCTTGTTTCTGTGTGCACGTTATCCGTCCGTTATTCGTACATTGTTCTTAGTTTATCGTTGTTTACGAGGCTTGGACGAAGCGGACAGGTAAGAAGGTCACGTGACATACATTTCGCAACACTCAGGACTACTCTGCTGTCTAGTACACTAGGTTAGGGGCGAGCGCCACTCCTTGTACTTTTTGAATAGATAGATAGAGTAGATAGTTAGGACTCGGAAGATCTTCGTGTGTTAATTATACTGTTTTCACATAGTTAGTTAGCTAGATGCTTCTGGGAAGTTAGATTTAGTTTGGGTTTTGTTCTTTTCATTTCTTTAGCGCCGCCCGCGTCCCTTCTGCCAGCTCTCTTGTTTTCCCGTCTTTATTTGTTTCAGTGTTGTACATACTGTAAATAGTATATTTTTGCTTTACTTACTTTTTCTTTATTTTTGATTAATTCGTTGTTGTTGTTCACTTTGGGATTGTAAATAAAAGCACACATTTTTTGGCATTACTTTGGTTGTCTTTCCACTCATTCACTGTTTATATAAATATATTTTAATTAAATAAATGTCAAACCTCCACACCCTAGACTAACATCAGGGGGTTTGTAACATTTTTGGGGGCTCGTCCGGGATCATTTAACCCATTTTTAAACAATTAAAATTGTTTGTATTTATAGTTTGAGTGTGAAAGCAACCTGCTAATTTACGAAGGTGTACTGTAGGCCCGACCCGCGGAACGCGCTGCTCAGGTAAACACGCGCACACACACACACATTTCTCTCTGTGTTGTTTCTGGTATAAGTAAATAAACAGGATGGCATTGTTTGATTTACAGACATTTATTGATAATCCGACAATAGAACAATTCGACCGCTGTAGAAAAGATGATTTATTACAGATAGCGGACCATTTCAAAATTTCAGTGGTAAAACAAGCTCTTAAGAAAAATATTAAGAGTGCCTTATACGAAAGGTTGGTTGAATTAAAGGTTCTCATAATGCCTGTTGTGGAAGAGGAAGAAACCGAGTTTCTTGGTGCTGGCGCGCAAAGCTCAAGTGCAGATGAGCCGGATGAAGGGCGAAATGAAAGCGGTGCTGCGGCTGCGCTCACTGAAGGCAAGCCAACACTGTCACCTTTCGATCCGTTTTCCCCCGTTTATTCTGGGTCTAAAGAGGATGGACGTTTAAAAGTCCGCCTGGCCCGTTTACAGTTTGAGGCACAGGAAAGGGCACAAGCGCGTCAGGCTGAGATGGAACTGAGACTCGAAATCCGCAGGCTTGAAGTTACGGCCGAAAAAGAGGTGAAGCTGCGTCAGCTGGAGTTGGAGGCTTTAAAAACTCCTCCTAAAGTGGCTGCGCAGTCCACCCGTGCTGAGACCTCTGTTGCTCCGGTGGGCGATCCAACCTCAACCACCTTCGATATAAGCAAATATGTATCTCTCGTACCAATATTTAGGGAATCCGAAGTCGATACATATTTTAGCGCTTTCGAGCGCATAGCGGCTTCTTTTCGCTGGCCTAAAGATTCATGGTCCCTTCTTCTCCAGTGCAAATTGGTTGGAAAGGCACAGGAGGTTTTTGCTACACTGTCCTTAGAGGACAGCCTTAATTATGATACTGCTAAATCAGCAATCCTCCGTGCTTATGAACTCGTACCTGAAGCATACAGACAGAAATTTAGGAATCACAAAAAGCTTTCTAGCCAGACTTTTGTTGAGTACGCGCGAGAAAAAGGCGTTCTTTTTGATAAATGGTGTAATGCAAGTAAGGCAACTGACTTTAATTCGTTAAGAGAATTAATTTTGCTTGAAGAATTTAAAGATAGATTGCCTGAACGGGTGGTGATATACCTTAACGAACAAAAAGTTGTGTCGTTGTCACAGGCAGCTGTGTTGGCA